TTAACTATCCCTTTAAGACGTCAATGGGAAATTTGAAGATAGGAAATGAAAATACAAAGCACACTTAAGCCTAAAATTATCTAAAATCAACAGATATTACAAATTCTGATCCAGAGAGCATGTCTTTGTCATGAGAACCCAAACTCATCTGGATAATGTGGATGCTAAAATATGTCCTTTCATATTTAATCATGCAAATAATATGGTTTTCCACTGTGAAAATAAAACCAAAGTTATCTTCACTAACTGCAGATCAAGATATGACTGACAAAACAAACCGCAACACAGTGCAACCTAAAATCCAATGAGCTATTCCACATTTTGAATCAGCATTTGTATAACAAATTATTAGAATGATTAACAAAACATTTCAAGCTTCACAAATAGTTTCAGCAACTAAATGTAAATATTCAAACCCTCAAGTAAACACACATGGTTCAGAGTAATGAAGACGGCTGTCTACTTTTGTCTGAACTACATGTAATGAATAAAGCACATACAACAGGTTAAGACGACATTGGTGCAATAGCCTGTATCTCCTATAGAATTTTTTATGTATTTTTGTATCTCTTTTCTATGCTGTGTTATATGGACTTGTGTCTGCAATAAAGTTTATATATACAAAAGCTGTTCCTGCCTAGTGAAAACAGATAGACTCAAAACAATCCTCACCGGAAACCTAGGAGGATCAAAACAACAACTGGGGAAAAAAAATATGAGCTCCGAAAGTCAGTGATCCATGTAAAACACTATTTTGTGTATACCGTTTCATATTATGTAATAGGCATTTACAAGTTCGCATGGTCACTGTCACAAATTTGCTTATTTGATTAGTGACAAAATAGAGCAAAACAATTTAGGCTACGTCATCTTTTCTTTGTTCAGTATTTTTGGGAATATTTTTTTATATATTTTTTTTATTAGATTTTGAATCTCTGATGTTCAATATGGACTTTTGGACCTCACAAATTTCGTGTGGACCTACGTGTGGTTTGTTGTATTAGCTACAGAACTTGGATACAATACATAAACAGTAACATGAATACTGTAATTAAATAATGACAAAAAAATCTGTCACGACTCACCCTGTTTAGACAAAGGAGGATGCGATTGTTGCCATGCAGAATATAAAATCATCCAATTTCCTAAAGGTAAATTTAATATCAGTGATGCTTGATAGTGATGATCCGTATCAGAAGTAGCAGATGTGTCCCAAAAGCGCGTGAGCTGCCTTAAATAAACCACTTTTAAATATATATATTTAAGTCACGCGCAGAATTTCAGTGTATCGTTGGCGCGTTCGACAAAGGCTGCACGCGCCCGTGATGCCCAAAATGCTGTCTATGTAGGCAGCACACTCGATTTTGAACACAGCCACTATTACATTGTTGTCATAATCACAGCAGACATCTCCATTACTGCTATAAGTAAATTACATTAATTTACACCGGAACACCCAGAACACCGATGGCAACCATTTAGACACCATCCATTATTTCTAATTATACAAGGGACAGTTAGAAGCCAAATCTGTTGTGTTGTGTTTGTGTTATCAACAGACAAACAAACACAATCTGTGCTGGTGGTCTGGCCTTCCTCGCGGCTTCTCCGTCAATTTTAAGCGGTTTCACAAATAAAAGCTCACTGGAATGGACACGTGATTACATTTAACACCCTAAAATCATCGAGCAAAAAACATCATACCTTGTATGTTTGTGTTTAGCAGTTTATATGTTCATATCTTTATCCAAGCGTCGTCGCTGAATTCTGCTATTTTCACTTCATTAGTCTCGCGTCTCCTCGCATCGACTGACAGAAAAAGACGGCCGCTGAGGATGGTAAAACTCCGCCCATAGCGACCAATCAGATTGTATATATTTACCGAAGAGAGAAATGGAGATCGCTGATTGGCTGAGACGCACGTTCGTCTGTGTCCTTCCATCCATTAGGTTCTGGAGCGCCTGGAAAGATGCTGCTGGATACTGACAGGTGCACAGTCTCAAAAGATATCAAAAGCAAAATTTTTAATGGAGTTTACCTTTAAAAGTGCACAATTTCATTCAAACTGACTGGGAATTTTCTCTTCCATTGCAGTCTAAAAATGATTTAAAACTTATCAGAACTTACAATTATCTAGTTTATGTCTGTCCTACCTGTAAATGTTCAGAGCATAAGCAAAAATATACACTTTCTGTCAAACGTTTTGAATAATTATGATTTTTTTTAAATAAATGTTTTTGATGAAGTCTCACCTACTGCATTTGATCAAAGAAACAGTAAAACATTTCAAAATGTAATATGCTGATCAGTTATTATTATCAATAATTATTGGTGCTCAATTATTTATTGATCAATGTTGAGAACAGTTTTTGCTGCTTAATATTTTTGCGGAAACCATGACACATTTTTTCAGGATTATTTGTTGAATAGAAAGTTCAATGAACATTTATTTGTCAAAATAAATATTTCAAAACATTATAATTGTCACTTTTGAATTTCTTTCTCTTTTTTTTATTCGCACTTACCCCACATTTTTTAATGATAGTGTATCACGGTTTAAATAAAAATATTAAGCAGCAACAATGGTTATCAACATTGATAATAATAGGTGTTTCCTGAGCACCAAATCAGCATATTAGAATGATTTCTGAAGGATCATGTGACACTGAAGACTGGAGTAATGATGCTGAAAATTCAGCTTTGCCATCACAGGAATAATTAAAATAGAAAACAAATGGTAACACTTTACAATAAGGTTCCATTAGTTAACATTAGTTAATGCATTAGTTAACATGAACTAACCATGAACAACATCTCTGTTCAGCATTAGTTAATATTTGTTAACGTTAACTCACACATATACTAATGCATCAATTTACGTTAACAACACAATTAAGTTAACATTAGTTAATGCATTAGTTAACATGAACTAACCATGAACAACAACTCTGTTCAGCATTAGTTATTAAAATTTGTTAACGTTAACTCACACATGTACTAATGCATCAATTCACATTAACAGCACAGTTAAATAACATTAGTTAATGCATTAGTTAACATGAACTAACCATGAACAATGCCTGTAAATAGCTTTACTGTTTTGTAAGGTTAACTTACTGTACATATTTACATTAGTTTATGTAGCAGTTGACACACACTATGAACATTTCTAACTCACCATGTTACCCTAAATGTAAAAATACTGTTGTGTACCTTATCAACACTCTTTTATAAGGCATTGATTTGTTGGTAAACATAATTCTACAGCGGAAAACAAATGTTAGTAACACATCAGTTAATGTTGAATAGTGTACACTTTACAATAAGGTTAATAAATTCCATTAATAAATGCTTTATTAATGGTAACTAATGTTAATAAAGAGATGTTAGTAACACATCAGTTAATATTGAAATAGAGTACACTTTTAACTCAATCCATTATTAAATACTTATTTGAATGCAAGTAATGATAGTAAAGTGCGTATAAACATGAACAACATATTTTTCCGCTGTAGAATTATGTTTACCAACAAATCAATGCCTTATATATATATATGAAAGAGTGTTGATAAGGTACACAAGCAGTATTTTTACATTTAGGGTAACTTGGTGAGTTAGAAATGTTCATACTTAGTGTGTGTCAACTGCTACGTAAACTAATGTAAATATGTACAGTAAGTTAACCTTACAAAACAGTAAAGCTATTTACAGGCATTGTTCATGGTTAGTTCATGTTAACTAATGCATTAACTAATGTTATTTAACTGTGCTGTTAATGTGAATTGATGCATTAGTACATGTGTGAGTTAACGTTAATACATTTTAATAACTAATGCTGAACAGAGCTGTTGTTTATGGTTAGTTCATGTTAACTAATGCATTAACTAATGTTAACTTAATTGTGCTGTTAACGTAAATTGATGCATTAGTATATGTGTGAGTTAACGTTAACAAATATTAACTAATGCTGAACAGAGATGTTGTTCATGGTTAGTACATGTTAACCAATGCATTAACTAATGTTAACTAATGGAACCTTATTGTAAAGTGTTACCAAACAAATAAATGCAGTCTTGGTGAGCATACGAGACTAATATAAAAAAATAGATATAAAAAACTTAATTATTACAAACTTTTTATAGTGAAATCCATGCTGTTTTATGTGAAATTACACAAACACACACTGTGAGAATGAAAGATCACTCATTTGTGTCTTTTATGACAAATTATAAACAATCACCAATGTTTTTTTAAAAGAGTTTAAAAACTACGTTATACAATGATTGAAGTAGCCAAGGAAATCCTTGACACTGGTCAGATTGTCAATTTTATATTGCTTGACAGATTCCACGAGACTTCGGACTATGAACATATTTACAACTTTGAATGTTTGCATGTATCTCGAGATGCGTAGAAAAATCAAACTTATAAATAGTCTACATGAGTATAAAAATAAAATGCTTTTGCATCGTCATTAAAAAAATGACAAAGAACAAACAAAAACAATGTATGTTATATTATCTTATACAGATGAATGAAATGCACCTCTTCATCTTGATTGCATGCTTCTGTTCAGTAAACAGTCAACTACTTTTTTGACCAAGACAACTTTGAGCCATTTCCCTTTAATGAGTCTTTTCTGTGAAATGGCAAAGCAAGCATAAATACGTTTGCTGTACATTACAAATAACCTCTCAAATTCAATCTCAAAATCCATCACATTTTCAAACATCTCCATAGAAAATGTACAAATTTGTCCTTCATAGAAATGATGTTCCTTTGATCTCTAAAAGATGTGCTCTGCAGTAAATACTGTCAGTCTTCTCCATTGGTTTAGTAGTCATTGCTTTTCTTCTTTAAAATCTTTTGAGACAAACAACAAGCCCAGCTCAAGGGCTACGGGCCTGACATGGCGTTTAGGGTGAAAATGGACGTTGGAGGGGTTCGAGGCTCTAGCTGAAGTGTTCAAGAATGCTTCTACTAATGGAGAAAACAGTCATGTGTCTAAAAAGAGCACTCCATATTAGAACAAAAACAGCAGGAATCAAGTGCCATCCTTTTACTTAAATTGTTCCAGGAAAGACTGTCATTCTCCTTTCTTAACATAGATAATGATTATGATAGTTCAACACTATGATTGATCCCTTTTACTCACTGGCTCTTTCACCCATATTGGTTATCCATGTCTGTCAAAGACAGACGTGGCACGGAAATTTTTGCAGGGTATTCTGCATTTCGAGAGGGGTCCATGTAGATGGTGGAGCTGGTGAGACTCTTGCGTTCTTTCTTTGACGTGGAGCGTCGCTGCCAGCGGCAAAGGAGAAGCTCCACCTGCTCTCTGAAGAAGCTGGTGGTCAGGGTGTAGAGGATGGGGTTAAGGGCACTGTTAATAGGAAGAATGAAGATCACCACCCAGGAGTTTATCGTCCCTGCAGAGATAAACAGAAGACATTGATGTCAACAACAGCAGAACTCACTGATCATCTTAAATTGAGGATTTGTGACACACTTGGCTAGAGGTAGCTGGGTAATTTTCAGGAAACAGTGGCTTTTTTGCACGAAAGAAAAAATTAAAGGATAATTCAACTTTTTAGAATTTTATTTGTTACTGCTAAACTTTTATTTAAATTGTATTTATTTATTTAATGTAAATGTAAATGTCAGGCCTAAAATACCAGGGCCATGACCATCTTAAATATGTGGCTATAACCAGGCAAAAATACCAATAGTTATTTATCCTTACATCCACCTTATTTTCTGTGAATGTGCAAGATTCATTAGCGCTATAGACGAATAACAAAGGACAGTAAGCGGTAAAACTATTTGCGCTACAAACCAGTATATAATTACGACAATACCTCAAACTGGAATTTCTTACTATATTATTTTAGAGTATCAAGCAGCATAACAAGCTGTTTTGTACAGCAAAAAAAATAAAATAAAAAAATAACTGGAAGCGCATGAGAATGGAAGCCTTGTTCAATTTATAAATGGCTGCTCTCGCTCTTACTTTAAAAATAAAGTGGATAAGTAACCACAGAGAGCTACTTTATTTTAAACCCATCACAGTAAGTTTGGAACTTGAAATATTTATTTGAATGACTCAAATTCTGGTTGCATCACCCAGTTTTTGTGTGCCTTTTTTTTTATAAATAACTGAAGATATTTCTCTTTTAAAATATATTTTGTACCAACTGCCTTACATTCAAAATGTTATGGGGTTGAAGATTCATGCAAAAATGAGAAACATGCTTCTGTTTTAACCATGTGGTCAAAAAATGGTGCTGCAGAAATAAACAACACACCTGGAATCTCAACTTTTAGAAGAGAGAGTGTTTTGACCAAAAATATGGGTATCCAGCAGAGGGCGTCAGAGAACACAATAAAGAAAAAGCGGTTGGCCACAGCCACATCTTTGTGCAGCCGACTGCGCACATCTGTGGCATTGATGCCAGTTTTATAAATGGAACAGAACATACTGGAGTAAGAAACGACAATCACCAAGAACGCCACCAGATTAAGACCTGTGAATACACAAGACACTTAGTTCAGAATATATCCTTATGTCAGTGCACATAAGGACTGACATAAGGAAAGAAATAAGCAGGACTGCATACAGAATTTAAAAATTACAGGGTGACCAGACATCCCCGTTTCCCAGAAAAGTAAATGAGTAGGCCTACTTAAAGTGTAAATTTCACAGTGCCCTTTCTGCAGTTCCTACCATCTCTGGTGGTTTGTATTTTCCTGATCATCCTTAAAAAATAATAAATAAAATAAAATAAAAGATGTTTAGGTAATATTATATATATATATATATATATATATATATATATATATATATATATATATATATATATATATATATATATATTAGAATAACAACATGCATTTTCCTTCTCGACACACCCCAAGTGAGTTTTTTGCTAGGAATTTTATTAAATTAAATATTATCCGTACCCCACAGTAAATCAGGGTAAATCGGACATTGCAGATCATCCCCTTTGCCGGTTTGGGCTTTAAAAAGAAAAGAAAAGAAAAAAGGTCACCCCGCCTAAATTTAGTATAGGCCTAATGAAGAATATAGGCCACTATATATACAGTGGGGGAAATAAGTATTTGACCCCTTGCTGATTTTGTAGGTTTGCCCACTTACAAAGAATGCAACGATCTATAATTTTAATCATATGTACATTCTAACAGTGAAAGACAGAATCCCAAAGAAAATTCCAGAAAATCACATCATATGAATTTATTTAAATTGATAACCATCTGATGAGGAAAAACAAGTATTTGACCCCCTGGACAAACAGCATGTAAATATTTTGTAGAAAAGCCCTTATTGGCCAGCACAGATGTCAAACGCTTTTTATAGTTGGTGACAAGGTTTGTGCACATTTCGGCAGGGATGTTGGCCCACTCCTCCCTGCAGACAGCCTCCAAATCTTTCAGGTTCCGAGGTTGTCGCCTGGCAACTCGAATTTTAAGCTCCCTCCAAAGATTTTCAATTGGATTCAGGTCTGGAGACTGGCTAGGCCACTCCAGAACCTTGATGTGCTTCTTCTTCAGCCACTCTTTTGTTGCTTTGGCGGTGTGCTTAGGGTCGTTGTCGTGCTGAAACACCCATCCTCGACCCATCATCAGCTCTCTCACTGAGGGAAGGAGATGTTGGTCCAGAATTCCACGATACATGGCCCCGTCCATCCTCCCCTCAATACGATGGAGTTGTCCCGTCCCCTTGGCTGAAAAGCACCCCCAAAGCATGATGTTGCCACCACCATGCTTGACGGTGGGGATGGTGTTCTTTGGGTTGGACTCGGTGTTCTTTGCCCTCCAAACACGGCGAGTTGAGGCCAAAAAGTTCTATTTTGGTCTCATCTGACCACATCACCTTCTTCCAGGCCTCTTCTGAGTCGTCCAGGTGGTGAATGGCGAACTTCATGCGGGCCTGTACATGTTTCTTCTTGAGCAGGGGGACCTTGCGTGCGCTGCAGGATTTCAATCCATGACGGCGTAGTGTGTTACCAACCGTTTCTTTTGTAACTGTGGTCCCAGCTGCCTTCAGTTGATTCATCAGTTCCCCCCTTGTGGTTTTGGGATGATTCCTCACCGTTCGCATGATCAGGGACACCCCACGAGGCGAGATCTTGTGTGGAGGCCCAGACCGAGGGAGGTTGGCGGTGGTGTGGTGCTTCTTCCATTTCCTGATAACTGCACCGACAGTTGATCTTTTCTCTCCAAGTTGCTTTCCGATTCTCTTGTAGCCCATCCCAGCCTTATGCAGATCAACAATCTTGTCCCTGATGTCCGTAGAAAGCTCTTTGGTCTTGCCCATGGTGGTGATGTTGGATGCTGGTTGTTTGGGTGTTGACAGGTGTCTTTTATACAGGTAACGAGGTGAGGCAGGTGTATTTGATGTAGATAATTGGTTGGGATTGGGGCTGTGTCTTAAAGAAAGACTAACTGGCTTGTAGGAGCCAGAATACTTGCTGTTTGGTAGGGGGTCATATACTTGTTTTTCCTCATCAGATGGTTATCAATTTTTATAAATTCATATGATGCGATTTTCTGGAATTTTCTTTGGGATTCTGTCTTTCACTGTTAGAATGTACATATGATTAAAATTATAGATCGTTGCATTCTTTGTAAGTGGGCAAACCTGCAAAATCAGCAAGGGGTCAAATACTTATTTCCCCCACTGTATATATATGTAAAGAATTAAAAATACTAAATACATGAAAACAATTGAATACATTATCAAAAATATGTATAATAAAAAGAGATATCGAACCAAGAAATATCCCTGTGGAGTATCCTTTGGCTGTTGGTTTTTCCAGTCTATCAGAGTGCAGAGGGAAACAAACTCCATTTCGCCCATAATAGTTCCCAAACAGGTCTTCATTTAGCAGGGGAACAGCTGCTATGACAAATCCCAGAACCCAGATGAAGGCCAGAACCAACACCGTCTGCAGCTTCTCAGGCCGCAGATGGCTAAAAGGGAAAACAATGACAAGGAATTTCTCTAGCGTCAAGTAGGTGAGGAGGAGAACAGATACTTCAGAGGAGAGCATGGCAAGAAAGCCAATTGTTCGGCATTCCACACTGTCCATCCAGATAAGAGCGTTCCGGTTATATTCGCCACGAAATTTCACATCGAATATCCCCAGGAAGAAGAGATAGACTCCCATCAGACAGTCAGCAACTAGAAAACAAAGCAAAAAAAAAAAAAATCAAAATCAAAACAATGACATGGATATTTAAGCATGATGACATACAGTACTTAATATTTTCATAAATGAAAAAACGTCTCGGGTTACTCAACTGTAACCCTGTTCCCCGAAAAAGCAGGAACGAGATGCTGTGTACTCATACACATTGGGAAAACATATTTGTTTGACCGGTTGTGAAGCATGTGTTCAAACACAGCAAGAGGCTTAAAGGATTAGTTCACTTTTTAAAAAAACTTTTGCTGATAATTTACTCACCCCCATGTCATCCAAGATGTCCATGTCTTTCTTTCTTCAGTCGAAAATAAATTAAGGTTTTTGATGAAAACATTCCAGGATTTTCAACGAACGAAATGACTCGAAAAAAGATTCGTTCATTTTGATGAACGAGTTCGAATAGGAGAGTCACGAACGCGCATCACAGAACAGAGCAAGGCGAGCATTTGTGCTTATGAAACTTAAACTTTTTTATTTATTTTTTAAATGACCGGTCGTTTCGCTAGATAAGATCCTTATTCATCGTCTGGTATCATTTAAAGCCCTTTGAAGCTGCACTGAAACTGTCATTTGGACCTTGAACCGTTTGGGTCCCGTTGAAGTCCATTATATGGAGAAAAACCCTGGAATGTTTTCATCAAAAACCTTAATTTCTTTTCGACTGAAGAAAGAAAGACATGGACACCTTGGATGACATGGGGGTGAGTAAATTATCAGCAAAAGTTTTTTTTTAAAAGTGAACTAATCCTTTAAATAACCTCTGATGATGACGTCATTGGACGTTTCCCCGATTAACGAGTTCACTCGTCATGGAGGTCTTCGAAGAAGGGGAGAGACCGTCGCTCAGGCCTCTCCCCTCAGCCACCGGACAGAATTCTATCCTCTAAATTTGTGCGCTTAGGGGTCTCTTGTTTCTGTGGCCAGTCCAGTTGTAACCTGGCCACTGCACGAGTCACCATCTCGAGTAACTCTTCTTGCGCTTTATCATCACTCTCGAAATCATCTCGCCTGAAACAAGAGTTGCAGCGTCCTCGGCCCGGTCCAAAGAAGCGCCAATGCATATGAGTACGCAGCATCGAGAGTAGCTTTTGAAAGGGAACTGTAGGCTTCTGCAAATAAAGATAACACAAAATCGGTTTCAATAAGTGACAGCCAGTGGAAAATGGGCTCCTCCTGCTGAGACTTGGTTTCTTCCTCACCCAAGTTCTTCAATTTTGTCCTCATTTCATTACTTTAGAATGAAAGACAACATCTCCACTGATTATAAGATTGCTATTCCTGGTTTCATCAGGTCTAGTTGCAGATTGATTTAAAACAATAGTGACTAGCTCCTGCTGCATCAGTTTGTGCAGTGGATATCGACAGCGCAAATTCTGTTCCTCATTACCATTATAAAAACAAGACCGTGTGACCAGAAGTGGCATAAAGTTGCTTGCAGTTTTGCTTTAGGAATTTCCTCCCAGGAGGTGTGAAATATTTGACAGCTGCTCACTTACTGGTTGTCCCACAAGTCAGACAGTACATTTAAGAATACTCCAGCTGTCTGAGAAAAGGGAATGTGTTTTACTAGGAATAATGTATGAACGCATCATTCTTCCTTACAGTTTGATGGAATACATCATTAATCCGAGCCATGCGATGATACCTCCATCTTGTGATAGCAGGTGATCTTTGATTCAGGCAGCATGGCAAAGGTGAGCAGAGAGATGCTATTAAAGTCAGTGAACAGCCAAAGGTAAAGGCCAAGCTCCTTTTCCCACCCTGACTATAATCTAGACACACTGCTATAGCTGAGATTAACAGACCAAGTACAGATAAGGACACTGAACTCAACTGAAAATGTGTCACCGGCTAATAACAACCCTCCATGATGCGGCCGAGGGAGCGTTTGTGGAGTACGAGGGCTGGGAGGAAAGTCCAACCCACAACCTCACAGTGGTGTTAGAATGAAGAGACCTTCAAGAGTTATTAACCAAACAATTGGTTTTCCCCATCTGTAAAATGAGTTCTGTTCTAATGATGATTAGGAAAAGCCTTCAGATATTAAGAGATGACAGCCAAAAATCACTAAGAGCCTGGTGAACTGTTAAGGAGTAAGAAATAAACAATTTCAATATAAGAAAATGTTAAATTAGTTAAACTTCCCATGGCACTTCGAAGTAGACAATTCTGTCATACTGATACGGTTCCAGCCTCTGGCGCTCTGTGCTATCTAAAAGATAATGCTTTTTAAATTAATATTTTGTATTTTTTAGGGATTTTATGGTACCAAATGATATTTACGCTGTTTTATAATCCATTTATTCACTTTTTGAGCATAGAAAAATTCGTAAATCTTGAATGATTTAGATTTAGAGCACAGACTTAAGTTCTCTTTTCAAAGACAACACTTGCCAGGTTATTGCTGGTGAAAAAAGTTTTAAAAAGTGAACTTAAAAGTTTTGTTTATTGTTGCACAAAAATACTATTTCAAATGTTTATATGAAATATATATATTTTCCAAAACATGTTTTACTCAAAAACTGCAAGAAAATCAAAGCCTTGAATCTAAACAAGTTGTGTTCCAAATTTGAGCTTGATATCTCAAAAAATTTGCCTTCAGTAAGATTTTGTTTGGCCACAGTACCAAAAGTTTTCACTAGATAAAATTCATCTCCCATTAATTTCCAATGCAGCCATTTTTGACCACGAGGAGCACAAGTGTGACAGTTTTGTTTCAGGACCATTTAACCTTTTCAAATCATGCCCATGATTTTTTTTTTTCACATAGCAAGTGCCAAAACCTTTACCAATTTTTGTACCATTACGATGAAGTAAAAAAATAATTAGTTTTTTTTTTATTTTTAGGTCAAAAATTATAGAAGAGCACCAGAGGGTTATATGATATAAAATACATCAAAAATCCTAATGTAAACAAGTAATTGTTAACTAGGCCATTACTTTATTGCAGTTATGTTATCAAAAAACTTTGCATGTGTGGATGATAGGCAAGATACCACAAAAGACATTTTTCAAAAAAAAAAAAAAAGCATCTCTCACGAGGGAGCACCCCCCCCCCACCCCCCCCCCAAAAAAAAAAACTATGCCCTTGTTATATACAGTATTAAAGTAATTTGTCATAATTTGATCATTTTACCTTTTTTTTTAAATCACGGTAGCTTGCTGACTTAATTTTAGCAAAATATGGTTCATCCAAAAAAAGACGTATGGCCAGTAATATTATCTCACCAAGTTTCACATCAAATTGTGAATACACAGGAAAAACTTAAAATCACAATTTTCAATCAATTACAAACTGTATCCCTATTGGATGCATGTCGGTAAAAATGAAGTATTGAAAAATAAACCCATCAGGCCTCAAAAATACATCTGCCACAGATTTACTGAAGTATTAGTAGATTGTTATTGTTCAGTACATCAGGAAATGATCGGACTGCGGAACAGTCTGTAATTTTACTTTTGAAATAAGTTAAAAACGCTAGCATACTGCATACACAGCATACACAAACAAACTGTCACTCTCTTAATAGGATTATAGATGCGTGCATAAAGGTTCGAGAATGAACAATCAAACCACGCACAAGAATATACTGAACATACAGACACAAAAGCAAACCAAATCATAATAGGCTTTACTGACAGCTTCCATTATTTAGATAAAATCCTTTACCTTTGTTACCCTTGTTTTTTCTGCTAATACCGCCATTCACGAAGGCCTTAGCATTACTGGGTATATTTTCTGTCCAGGAAAATCCTTTTTTGTTGTTGCCATTGTAGAATGTGTAGCCAAACCTTTTTGGAGCAATTTCAATTCGGGCCGTGTGTGTGTGTGTGTGTGTCTGTGTGTGTTGCAGGCCCGGCATCAAGGGGGGGCTATAACTGGTCTTTGTGCTGTACACTTTATATAATTAAAAAAAATGAAACAATAATAATAAACAAATATTTTAATGCATTACTTTTTTTTAATCAAATATATGAAGTGTTCAGTACAAAGATCAGATGAATCAATAATGAAGTTAATTGTTTTATTATTATAAAAAAATTTGCACACAATGTATTTATTAATTCATTATTAAAAAATCTGTATTTATTAATCCCTACTCACAACACAGGACTTTGATGCAGGCTGCATGCAGGTTGTTCTCCGCTCTAATGAAGGAACGCATTCCGATGACAAAGAGATTCCCAAAGCAGGTGATGAAGGCCATCACCCAGACGGACACCCGCAGAACCAGGCTGGCTAACAGGTCTTCAACTGATGAAATCCCATCGGTGTTAGGTTTACATTTCCGAACATGTGGGGCATAGGAACAGTACTGAAAATCCTTAAAATATCTAGAAAAAACAGATACGAACAAACAACAGATTACAAACTGAGCATCCTGCGAATGCAGATTATTACACCGACCACACAATGAGAGGTACGTACATGTGGGACAGGTTTCCCATGGGAAGAAACATCTTGGTGGTTATATCAGGAATTTCAATGCCCTCCAGACTTCTGTTAAACACAAATGAATGTTGCATTTCATCCGACACCTACTAATAGGGTCTTAAAAGCCATTCTTTTCCAGTGCAGAGCATGCAATGCTGATACGTACAGAGACTCCAGTTGGACCAGGTGATTGAAGTGACTGGCATGAATATGGAGAGCAGGATTGTGGGATATGTTCCTGCAAACATTAAATGGAATATGTCAGCCAAAAATGATTTTTCTGATTATTTACTAATGACATTTCAAATCCATTTTTCTTTAAACAGATTTTTTCTCTTGCCAGTAACAACAGTGGATAGTCATACGCTCCATAAAGGACATGAAACTACACACCATTTTTGAATGCATATGTGGGCTAGAGACAAGCTTAAATTCAATTCTGTAAAGAGCTAGCACATGGCTTCAAAGGCTCAGAATACAGACTACTTTTGTGGTGCTTTTTTCAGCCACCAAAAGAAGACTTGTTTGTTCCATGGAAGAAATAGAAGCACCAAGTTTTGGAAGGACATGAAGGTGAGTGGAAAGTGACAGAAGTGTTCCTCTTTTAAAATATCCCTATAACATTTTTTATGTTGTCCTATTGCATCAATCATGGCGCCATTTATTGAACCAACCAATTAAAAAAAATGTAAATAAATGATGTGACTGATATTTGCATAACTCACAGTTTCTGCAGATATTTTAAACTCTTGAAAGTGTTTTTAGGAAGGTCGGAAAGTCTGTTGCAAGACAAATCTCTAAAAAAAACAAGAAGGAGAAACAAACACAACAATCAGATGAATTAAATCGACGTGCATACAAAGATATCTCAATTATGATGTAAAAACCTTATTACTCTCAAATCCAAAGATTGTACATCCAGATTATGTGCTGCGGTACTCACAGTTCAACCAAAGATCCAAGAGAATGAAACGTGCTTTCTGGAAGGATCTTGATTTTATTGTCATGCAGTGATCTGGGCATATAAAAATGAGAGAACAACATAATGTTTCTTTTCAATGAGACTAAACTTCAACATTTTCACGTGTGGAAAGCCTCAAAGAACAGCCACTGGCCCGTTAAACAGCCAGACAATAATGAAATCCTACTGCTTTCTGCTGCATTTCCAGCTTTTTCAGCAAGGGCACGCTGACCCTGTTTGCAAAGATACCACCTCTCCCTCAAAATCTCATTTAAGATATGTCTGACACTTCCCTACATCTATTACAAAAGAGAACATCTTAATAATAAACTAATAGAGCCTGGAATGGGTTTAGTTGTCGCTGTCAGAGACTTCAGTCTGTCCGAATAAGGCAAAATCTTTCTGTCATCACACTGTTCCTAGGAGACATTCTGCTATCATTTGCAACAGTTTTATGAGGAAAACAGTACCAAGACTACAAAGGAGTCAAATTCACAGCTCTCTGAGAAACTGGGATTAGATTCCTCTATTTTTATACTCCAAATGTGATCAACCACAAATGAGTCAGCCCATAGATAAACGTCCCGAGGTATTGATTAACTTGTAAGAAAGTGATGGGAGTTAGATTTCTTTTTCCCCAAGTAACATCAAACTATGTTACTTTGCCCAAAGCAAAATGAGAAGGAGAATAGAAAGTCTATTTAAAATTTTTTTTTCTAATTATCAAAAAAAAAAAAAAAAAGGAATTGGCAGATGGAAGCCTCATTAGACAATGTGCAGCATGTATCTCTGAAATAGAGACCTTTCAACATATTCTTCACAACTCATTCTCAATCTGTGGTAGAATTGTGATGATTGCAAAATTTGCTCTGGTAAACTGAAAAAATTACAATCATGTATTGTAAATGGTTAAAAAAAATGTACAAATGTCACGGTAAATAAAAACCTAGCAAATTAACTGACATTTAAGGTCACTGCATTTAACAACAATATATGCAGTTTTTGTAGTTTGTAGCAATTATGCTCTTCATATGTTAAAAAAATTAATCACCTTAAAAAAAATGCCAGCCTGAACCTGTCATATTTACAGCAAAAGGGGGACAAACCAAATTCAAAGAAATGATTACTGTGGTGAAGCAGGGCGGGGCAAAGAGTCATGGGAGCAGAGCAAGGCCAGTGGAGAGAAAGATAATGAGTGAAACCTGCAAGACACACCAGTCTTGAGTCCCACGGAGGAGCTCCGGAAGGATAGCAAGAAGAATGAGGATAGTGGAGAGAGGACAAGGCCTGGGACATTTTGTTGTTTTTTATCATTAAAACTTTATGCTGAACTTTGCTGGTTCCTGCCTCATTTCTCCCCTGAACTGAACACTATTACAATTTATGCAATTCAAACAAAATATATCAAATACTTTTTTTTTTTACAATGTTAGTTGTTAAATTGTTAATCTGACAATATAATTTGAATAAAAATGGTGTAATAAAATAAAAAGGCAATGCATGCCTGACATGTTTGATGCATTTTCAAAAGTGGTCACAGAATATTGTATCCCACAGTATATGGCATATAAGAAATGTCCTACAGTTTTTAAACTCAGTTAAATTAAAATGATTTCAACACGTGCTTGACATCATTCTCCACAAGGAAGCTTTGTTCACTTGTTAGAAACGCATGCATGCAGACACACATCCTAATGTCTAACTAAGAACAAGCATTTCCCTTTAGAGATAATAAACAAACCAACATCTGTACCACATTCAATTAAACTGACTATTAAATCAAATTTTACAACCATTATAAATTGAGATGCTGGCATCAACGTAAGCATAGCCATCACATACACTATGGCGGAGGGTAAAAGCACGAAAAACACTTACAGCACTGTGAGCTCGGTGCATGTCATCAGAGTGGAAATATTCAGCAACTCAACGTGGTTCTCAGCAAAGTCCCTGCAAGGAAAGACAAGCCAAGGAAAAGAAAAGAAAGAAAAACAATTTTAAAAAAATACATAGAAATCCTAAATTCGAGGACATAATAGGAAAACAACGGAACCGACGACTACGAAAACTCATCCCACTGCTCTGCAACAACAAAAATTAATTTGATCAAGACGAGCCATAGGTGCATGACAACTACATGAATAATAAGCTTGCTGAAATAGTTCATTCAGTGAGTGCCTTGATCAGAGGACGTGACTGACTTTGATAGAGCCGCTGATAGTCTGTCTCTCAGAACTGTCGGGCTGGACTTGCAGATGGCAAATTGTCATTCAGTGTCGAGAGTATTGCAGTATGAGTGAGCCTGCTCGCAGAAGTAACATCAAAAAACACAGTCCCCCTGATGATGTCCATTGTCCATCTCTTTCCATCCTGACTATAATTACCAGAGTGCATTGCTCACAGAAAAGCTGTAAATGAGTCCAAAGTGCTCATTATGAAGGGAGAGATGCTCGAAAATACACAAACGACACATTTGGCAAAGATACAGGCACTTTGAGAGAAGTTTTCATTGTTAACTCAAGATGTGTGACACGGTCAATGGAGTTGTTGTCAGACCTTTGACTAAACAGCACAAGCAGCTTAATCTTGCCTATAAGCACCCACTTAAACAGGAAGAGAGTGTCTGACTGACATGTCAAGCGACAAAACAAAAATCGGTTTTGCTCGCTCTAATCTGAAAAACCGGCAGATCCAGAGATTATTTCATCCTCAAAAGCACTCGTCGTATCACCCGGTACCTTGTAAACATGACTTTGTTTCCAAGTAGACTGATAATAAACGCTGTGTTCCCTTACTCCAGGAAATTACTTAAAATCAGCCAATGAGATTAAAGCTTGCCAGAACATGCTTTCCAGTTTTGTGTGCGATGCGCATCAGACAGTCAGTCAGTGGCCTGTGGGCCAGACCGTGGGCGTCCTGTCTGAGAATAATCATGTTTATAGGTCATTGTTGACTATAAAACTTCAGAGCACACATTTTTAAGGGTTTTCCAGTAAGTGAGTGTAGTCTTCTCTGCAAGGTTCAGCTGAGCAAAGCAACTTATTTACAGCAACGTATAGTTATATAAGATTTGCTAAATTCAAACCTACTTTACAGTCTAATTATATAGCAAATACAAAAGAGGATTATAATAGGGTTTCAATTGTCTAGAGTTCAGAGACCATCAGTTAAGTGTTACGGACTCTCTCTGTTTGTTAACCTCAGAATGACCTATTCAAATAAAGCAAAGAGCCTGATGACTAATATACTAATGGAGATGTGGGTTTAAACACACACATACAGACATATACAGTCGCTTACACAACTGAAAGTAGCACAAAAAAAACCCTTCCCAGTGTCCCAAAACCTTACTGAGAAGTCAGTTTGATGATATGTTGAGGCAACTTGGATCAAAAATAAATGCTTTCTCTATACAATATTCAGTGCAAACGTACACACACAGAAATAAATGGACCAGCCAAGAAGGCTTTAACATTATTAAAGTACCATGCAGCAACACTGGTACACTAACAAATATCCTGTTAATTTTACGGTTAAAAACTGACAGCTGCATGCAGTTGCCATAAATTCACTGTAAAAATACGGTGACAATGTTTCCAGTTTTACAGTATATGCCTGTATATTTTACATCACATTTCATGAAGTGATATAATATAAATACCAATTTTATGTCAAAGCAAATTTATCTAGGTCTTGCAAAAATAACATATGTGAATTGCCAAATTATAATACCACATTATTACTTGGCTAAACATTAACCATTCATTAACAAAGTTTCATTAACAAAGTTTTCAAAATGATAGATGTGGGGTAAACTGTGCCAGATGCTTTGAGGTAAGCTGTGTCAATGGCTGAACTGGCCAAAATTAGTTACAGAGTTCTGAAACTGAGATGATTTTCCAGAACAAAAATGATTTTCCAGAACAACATTATGTAGAATTATGAAGAAGCTACTTCAGCCTAGGAAAACTGCACAGAGGGAGTAATATTTCCATGCAACCTTGATTACTGGAATGTTGAATAATGATATCTGTAATTCTTATTATAATCAATCATTTTTTTTATGTTTCACTATTTCATACACACAACATTTTTAATATATTAAAATGTATTCCTGTCTTAAAATGAGTTTATTTACAGGGTAGTCACACATGCAATGGTCAAAGACAGCAGACACAGGATAGGAGACAAGGCAATAATCAGGATCCGATAACCAGGCGGGATAACAGAGGCAGGCGGCAGACGAGACGGAATCCAGGAAACAGGCAAGGGGCCAAAAGGCGAGATGGTCCTCACTGCAGAACACGAAATCCAGGGGGAGGAGTTGGATCCAGATCCAACTCCTCCCACCTTACATATACCTAAACCTACCCATCTCCGCCCCCTGATCCCTAACCCCACCCCTAATCTTACCCATCTCCACCCCTTAGATCTGGATCCAACTCCGCCCCCTGGATCTTGTGAACTGCAATGAGGTGCTACTGCAAAAGGCAGGCAGCAGACAATGGGCTCTATGCACGGCGGTATTTCCGGTGAAGGTCTAAGGATGCTGGATTACTTCCGCCGTTCGTAGAGTCCAATGCTATACCGAGAATTTATATTGGTTTTTATACTCAACTGCTATACTAAAGAAACGTTAGTCACAAAAACAGACACTCCTCATTTTGTTTATGCTTCTGTGTTTATTATATTAAATAAACATAACTATATATAAAATTACATCTAAACGTATTAAAGTTTCGTTTCAAAGACGAGAGGACAGTACATTTTGAAGACTCTGCCATAATCCCGGTTTCCTCGGTTTTCCTCCGCTTTAAATCTCCCCAATCGGAAACGCACGAGCATCCTTGCGTCAAACGCGGAAGTTATGCGTGCATATAGCCCATTGAGGAACAGGTTCAGCAAGGGTCGAAAACACAGACTAGACTTGGATAACAGATTAGGATAAAGATAACAGACTAGATAACAATGAAACAAGATCAGACTAGGAAACGCTCGGAATTGAACACGACAGTGACATTCAGTCATTCAAGACTACGCAATGGGTGATATAGAGACAGTGAGGTATAAATGTGTGTGGAGCTGCGTGTGGAACTAGATGCAGGTGTGAGAGTCATCAATGGAAACAGGTGTGTGCGTAATCAGTTCAGGGTGTGTGCGTAAACAGTCCAAGGAAAGGCAGGCAGTTCAGAAGTGGAGCCAGCCGATCACGTCACAGTATTATAGTGAACTCAGAGCCGGATTAACGCAAAGGCAAACTAGGCACGTGCCTAGGGCCCGACTGGCTGGATGGGGCCCAGACAGAGGGCTACATTTTTTTTTTTTTTTTTTTTTTTTTACAAATGTCCTATCTACAATTTATTTCAATATTTATTAATTAACTAAAAATAGTGACGATGTTTATCTTAACCATAGACTGTTACATTACGTCACATTAACGCCAGCCCATCAGGTGCTGCGAAGCAAAAGCCTAAATAGGCACGCAAAGAAGCACAGCTCGTAATGCAGGTGTGTGCGTTGTCTTGTCGTCATCTATTTTGGAGTGATTGCAATGTATTCTAAATATAAACTTGTACTGTAGATCAGCGTCATTTCTGGAAAAAACATTCACCGCTTTATTACGAGTTTAAAAGAGCGCGAGCGTCATTAACGTGCCCAGACGCGACGCTTTGAATTTGCGCGTACAATGAATAACATCGCGTCGGGAGCTGACTAAAAACGCTACAAAAGTAAAAGACAAGACGTTTGAATTCAAAGTTAAAAAGCCAACACACTACAACATTTTTAAATGTTTCAAATAAAGGATCTCGGGTCTATCTTTTAAATTCTGCTGATGATTATACCCTGTCTGACATCAGCCTACTTACGCCAATAATATCAGTTTAGAATTTTTTTTCTAATCAGTAGCGATCGTGTCTTTCTCTTCCACTTCATTTGTGTATAGCATATTTAAGCTAGCAATGCAATGCATAATATCATATTAGGCCTACTTATATTAATAATATGACAATATCTGCATTCTGCAGTCGAATATTTATTAAATGGGAGGGGAAAATCCTGCCCATACCAGCTATGAAAAAAATGATAAAAGCATATATCACTGAAGTGGTATTCTGGAACTGTGAATAAATTGAATAAAACAGCAAAATAACAATAACAATAACATCTTCATTAAACAAAAAAGAGATTACCTTAGATGAAGTTTGATTAATATGTAGCCTACTGGTAAAAAGTCTGGACCAATTACTATTTTTAATGTTTTTGAAAGAAGTTTTTTTATTATGCTCTACAAGCCTGCATTTATTTGATCAAAAATACAAAAAAGAAAAAGAAAAACAGGAATATTCAGCAAGGATGTGTTAAATATATAAAAAGGGATAGTGAAGACTTTTTTAAACAACTTTTTAATAATAATAAATAAAAAAAATCCTGAAAAAAAGTATCACAGGTTACAAAATAAATATTAAGCACCATTTCTAACATTTGATAATAAATCAGAATATTATAACGTTTTCTGAAGGATCACATGACACTAAATTCAGCTTTGCATCACATAAATATATTTTAAAGTAGTAAAATAGGAAAACTGTTATTTTTAATTTTAATAATATTTCACTATTATTTATCTGTATTTTTGATCAAATAAATCCAGGCTTGATTAGCATAAGAGACTTCTTTCAAAAAACATTAAAAATATTAATGTGTCCAAACTTATGTACTGTGTAAGTAAAAACATTTAAAATTAAATGTTGTATAAATTAAAAGGTTAGGAATCATATTTGTTTCAAGAGTTTTTTATTGGGGGTGGGGGGCCTCCAACATGAATATTGCCTAGGGCCTCCAAATGTCTAGAACCGGCCCTGAGTGAACTATAAACTTTTTTTTGTTTTACCTCATCTCATTTCTCCTTGATAGAGGACAGCTATTGGCACAGATTACCCCACTCTCCCCTACATAGGTCAATAAAAAGGAAGTACTCACAGCCAGCTGAGCAAGGGCATGTGCTGACAGAGACTCGAGTTGGGCAGCCACATCAAGGACGTGTTCACCATAGACCTGCGATTAAGCACAAAAATTTTAATCAACCACCTAAAATGGCAACCCAGCCTCGATGTGCAGACTGTCACAGCAAGTGCCTTGTAGATCTTTATTGTAGAAGTCAAACAAACCCCCTGCAGCACTTCAAGGTGCGACTGAATCAGTTTCAGAGGGAAAACAATCAAGGCTTTCTACCAGACTATCTTTGTGCTATTAGACGGCGTTCTCTGTTTCACAAGCAATAATTAGCTGAAAATTGTCTTTAAATTAATTTTTGTAAAATGAGTCCTTAATTATTATCAACTAACTAAGAAATTAATTTTAACCTCTGAAAGGAGATCATGCATGTAGTCAGAAACACCAGAAAATTAGAAATTAACATTAAACATGCATTTTAGCTAATTATGCCAATTTAGAGAACAGTTTCATCTGTACTCATAAATGCAAAATTAATGTGCTTGTTATGCAGTGATCACTTGTAATTTACAAGGTAGCTATTATTTATTAATAAATTGGGCTCAAAAAGTAATTTTCTGTAAATACAGACTCCCGCGAGCTAAGCTTTTGCATGCAATGGCTAAAGTTAAACAGAGCCGGGCAGCTGGAAAACGTTCAAGAGATGTACTACTGTTATTTCAGCTATTATCCAGGAATCACAGAGCGAAGTGAACTGGCTGGAAAAAACATTCTGGGCTAGTGTATATAGTCTCTTCTGTGATGACTTCAGATATACATCTTCATTCATAAAAGGTAATCTCACGAGGTACTTTTCTTTTGAGTGATGCTTAATATCTGTTTTGGATTTTCTATTATTAGTTAGCGGTCCCTGAGAGAAACCTGTTTTTCATTAAGATGGAGGAACAATTTACTTTTTTTTATTTATTTTTTTATTCTTTCTACAGGACGGCAGTGATTCAATTATGGTGGTCAAGCCAAAACGGGCAAATAATGTGAAATTGTCCCATACAGTATGTTCCTTCTCAGAGCTGTAATAGACAAACAAACAAAAAACTAGAAATTAGAAATTTCTTCACTAGAAATTAATTGTGGCCTCTGACAGCACAGTTTATTTGCACACACAGAGTTGTTTTAGAGCCTGGCCCACTAAGAGAATTATGCAAATGATGTAATGGCACAAACATGGCAACAAAGTCTGTGCAATTTGCATGCTGCAGGTTTTTTGTTTAGAAGTACTGTGCAAAAGTGGCATAAATGTTTCATTTTTACTTTGAAGTTCAAATTAAACTCACACCTTAAAGTGTAATTTGCCGATTTTCAAAGATGATTGACAATCAGTATACTGTTTAGATTGGTGGTATGGTTCTGTTCTGATCAGGAACATCCATACAGCCTATCATGCATAAGAGCAGGGACTGCAGCGAAAATAACAGAACCAACATAAATGCATTATGGATATCATTAAAGTTCTTAATGACAAATAAATTAAAGTACCAACATACATGACCCGCCAGAACCGACGCTACTCTTGATATTTATAGAATTCATTCATTTAATTTGGTAAGTGTTAATAAATTGTAAATACGAATAAAAAAAATCAATTGTCACATATCCACTTTTCGGTTATCAGTTGTTAATCCACAATATCTATAGAGAATTGTGATAAAACAAGATAAAATGATTTATATATTTGTGATTTATTGAGTAGTTCTTTACATTAAAAGGAGAAAAATATGATTCTAAATATGATTGTACCAGTGCACACCTGGAGAATATTTAATTAATATGTATTATGTCAATAAAATAAAAATAAATCCATGTACAGTAAAAATCTATTTTTGTATTTATCATGATGAAAGATTTTTTGTTTTTAGAGAAATGTCTATAGCACCAATTTGTGTGAATTATGCAGAACAACCCCAGCACAGGTTTTGACAGAGTCTAACTAGGGGACGCACGCACACACGCACACACAGGTGAACACGGATGATAAGGTAATACCAAGAGGAAAATAGTAAAATATAAATGAAACCTTTTCGGTGAGGAGAGGGGAAAAAATTAAGAAAAAGTATTGTGATGGTAAAACATTTCCTTCTTTTACTCTAGTTAGTTTTGGCACAGACGTGATCACAAAGCAGGCATTAAGAATATTAATGACATTAGCCTTCGGGTAACCCACAAGTTGAAATCCAAAAGTATTTGATTTCTTTGGGTACAGACAGTTCTGTATCACGGTGAGAAGATCTAAAAGTTGTCTCAGCAATGTTTTGTTGCAATAAGAAAATTGGCTGTGTTACAGGGTTAGTGATCCCTAGATTTCTTTGTTTCTTGAATGACATCTTGACAGTTCCTTGGGCATACTTGTTACCAACACACAAATAAACTCAGATGTGTCTTGTTGTGGGAATTGATTTAGTTCACAGTGACTGGCAAATTCTAAACAGAGAAAAAGTAGTAAAAGTAAAAGATAATATTGCTTAATTTCAACCTCCTAAAACAACATCCTATAGTTTTTAAATTTACTTGACTGGTCAGACACAATTGTATCAGAAACAGGGACAAACTTGATCAAATTGATAAAAGATATATATAAATATATCTTTTATCAATTTGATCAAGTTTGTCCCTGTTTCTGATACAATTGTGTCATTTCTCTGATACATGTGTGGTCATATATAAATATACAAAACTTGACATCTTCCTTAGAGAGATAACAAGGACAACCTGATTAAACTAAATGCCACACTTGAGAAACACCATGGAATATTTTTAAACAGCAAGATACTTACAGAAATGTCAGCAACCTCAAACCGATGAACGCATCACGGGTGATACTTTTAAGTGGATTGTGATCCAAGACTCTGAGGAAAAAATAATAATACAAGAACTGAAGTGTCTTTTACGAAATGTTAATCACAGGAATACATTGCTATAATGCCAGATTTTAACTTGTATGTGTTTTTTTGTGTGTGTTTTTTTGCATGATAGAAAGAAATATCTTGTTGGCACATCTTTTGTCAGAGACTGTGCTTGTTCTAGTGCTGCATAAATGTGCCCAGCCTGCGTCTGTGCTGCTGACGGTGCCAACAAGCCACCCAAGTCATTCTTTTTGCTAAATCATATTCAGAGCCATATTCTACTAACTCAGAGCTATTATGCCAAGTTGAATTAAGTAGGCCTATTTATTTTTAAGGAGACAGTGCCTCGCCGGAAATTTAAATGAGAAAATAAAATCCAAGTACACAAAATAAAAACAAATATTGCAAAATATGGTATGAAATGTCGATGAAGTGTGTAAAGCCAAAGAATAAGAGAAGTTCAAGAAAATAAGATATTAAAAATTAAATTAAACGTGAACTAAAATATAAACATAAAACAAAGAAATGCATATAAAAATATATAAAATAGAAAAATAGAAATATAACAATGATAAATGAAAATTTATATTACATTTTGTGATTGATATTTGATGCAAAAGATCAAGAAGAAACCATTTTCCCTTTTGTAATTCATTAAACGTGTTGTGATGCATACTCACAGCCAGTCTAATTTGTGCAGATCTCTGAATACACCCGGACCTAAATAGGTTATGTGGTTTTGGCTCAGAAACCTGCATAAAAGACCATGTTTAATTAGGGACACAGACTTGAAATTGATAAAAAGCTCCATTCGCTGTCAAGGTTAGGCATTAAATTGCCCAAAGGACCGATTTACTGATATAAAAATAATAAATGGCCCTTTTAGGAATCCAAATGAATACGAGCGCAGCAAAACTAATTTCTGCCTCACACACAGAGCTTCATCTGAGATGCTTTTTAAATGAACTAGAGGAAGATTGGAGCAGTAAAGAAAAGGTAAAAGATTGTTATTCCTACAAAACTCTTTAAGAAAAATTGATAAGATAATTTATCATCCAGACCCACTAGACTGACTTTCCCTAATGAAATATGGTGTTATATCATCATCATCCCAGGATTAGGCTTGTCCTATATCCTGCTGTTTATGGGAGCAAGGGGATCTCAGAGCTGCTGTGAAAGAAAGACAATTACTATATGCTAGTCTCAAAGACTTTGTTCAAACCACCTTAAAAAAATAGTCTGCAGTGCACCCACCTGGCCCCACATACAAAAAGAGATACAGCCCAAAGAAGCCATTGTGCTCTGCATCATTTAACACATGCTGCAATTTTGTGAAAGGGCGCACACTGTTCAATATTCAATCGGAGACTGCAATTTCTCCAGGTCTGAACACCTCTTCCATGACCACACAATCTCTTACTGGCTTTTAATGAAGGAGCAGTTGCTTATAAAGGTTAACGAATAAAATTGCAGAAAAAAACAAAACTGTACTCACAATTTTTCCAGAGTGAATAGTCCACTGAAGGCATGGCTTGAGACCATCTGAATTGTGTTGTTCTGAAGAAACCTGTTCAAAAAGAAAGTCAGAACAAATAAGTGCTGAAAATGTTTATGGATACTATTATTCAGCTGTGTCAATTTGGACGTCTGACACCACAAATGGTGTCTTTTAAGTCGAAAAAGTTGCTTTATGCAAATTTTAACCATAACTTTGCGTTTGCATTACTTATCATAATATACTTCTCACGCTGTTCACTATTGCCACTGTAAGAAAAAAATTATGTGGGCGTCGAAGATCTCAAAAATGAAGTTTATTACAGCATAGCAGTGGCAAGGTAAACGAAGCACCTTGGGTTCACCGGCATCAGAATGAACCCAGAACATCCAAATCTTAAACCTTTTATCCTGTTTACCACTCTTAATGTAAATGAAGTTGCTCTTGTTGTAACAAATGTGTTCTGTATGTTAATGAAGTTGAGACACCCCATTGTCTGAGAAAGTTCTCTGTGTCCAACACACATTCCCATTCTACAATTGGCTACCATTTGTTCAGGATGTGATCAACCCAAATGGTGAAGAAACAATATAACTTCACTTCCTTCATCTCTATGATAATTAAGCCATTTTGGGGATGAGCTCATTCTAATATATATTTTGGACTGGAATCTGGGTCAAGGCAGACTACAATTTCTTACACCACATTCGGTTTTGGTTCACATTTATGTTCATGGTTTTTATTTTGTAGTTTGCCTTAGCCCTGTTTCATGTTCCTGTCATGTGATTCCCTTCTCCTGTCATGTGATCATCTTCTTCTTCTTTACGTTTCATGGCCGTTCACTCCTTAGGAGTATTACCGCCACCTACTGTATACCTTGCGCACATGAGTAATGGATCTGATTTGCGGTTAAAAAACCCCCAAAAAAACCTTTAACATCCCAGGGGATCAGAGCCCAAGCTTCAGCTGACGCTGCGTGTTCAGCTCCTCCAGCTTCCACACTGAGCTCCTCAACCTCCAGGATGATCAGAGCTACTTGCTCCTCCTCCTCAGGCTCTAGATCCGGTGATCTAGTCCTGTAAGCTCTAAAAATGTAATCACGTCCTTAAACCTCAGTCAATCACTCAAACTCTTTCCCAATATGTCCATGATACTCACTGTTCTTTATATTACTAAAAAGACCGCTACGCTGTTCTTCATATTTACTACACTTAAAAAAACACATGTTCTACTGTTTCAACAACACCACATTCATCACATATACCATTTCCATCCTTTCCCATTAATGCCAGTGTTGATTTCAACCCTGTATGACCCATCCTTAGTCTATAAATCATTACTTCTTCCTTTCTATGTCTTAATGTAGTACGATTATTTTTCCCTACTGATTTTACAATACTATAATACCACCAACCTGTACTGCTACTTTCCCATCTTTGTTGCCATATTCTTATTATTTCTCTATTAATTATTGATCTAACTTCATTTCTTCCAAAAGGTATCTTAATATCTACCAAGTCTTTCCTTAATGCTTCTATTGCTAATTTATCCGCTATTTCGTTTCCTACTATTCCAATATGTGCCGGCACCCAACAAAAGTATACAATTATACCCTCTGTATTCAGCCTAAATAATAATGTAGAAATTTCTACTATCAGGTCTTCTCTGTCAGTTTTTGTTGACAATATACTTTTAAGTGCTGATGCAGAATCTGAGCAAATTACAGTCGCCATCCTTATTTGGCTTAGTCTGCTCTAACCACTGCAATCCTACTATTATAGCAGTTAGTTCTGTTGAATATACAGACATTTTGTCACTCAACCTTAAACTTATTTTCATCTCAAATTTTGGAATATATACTCCTACTCCCACTTTTTGTTTGACTGGGTCTTTAGATCCATCTGTTTTTCTCTCATATAACCATTGATTTCATAACTATTAGTATATCTTCCTTCTGCTTTCTCCCGATCCTCCAGCAGTCTCATTTCAACATTAGGTTTAGGAATATTCCACACCGATACCCCTTTTAATGGCATATTGGGACAAATACCGGTAACTAAATTTTTCAGACCACATTTCTTAACCCAATGTTTATACTTCCATCCAAAACTATTCCAATTATTATTTTTATATTCCCAACAGTCATTTAAAATTGCTCGTGTGCGATGACTCTTATTACAACCCTGCAAATTAACCCAGTATCTTTGTAAGCTTTTCTCTTCTTAATGGCATCTCCCCCATTTCAACCCTGATGGCTGTTATGTGATCTTACCACATGCTTCCCTTTTCTATGTGTTATGTTCTCATCGGTTCATTGTTTAATTGTTCACAGGTGTCCCTCCTTTAGTCATCTGTGCACAACTAGCCCTCATGTTCCCATTGTCTTTTGTTTAGTTTTATTCCCTGTTACTGCTGTAGGTGAGTTTGTTTATGTTTACTTCAGGAATCAAGTCAGGTTTTTGTTAATTTTTTTCATGTTAAATAAACTGCACTTGGGTTCAGTACACTCACCTTCAGTGGACTACAAATAGCAGCCATTATAAAGTACCCAATTAATACATCATTTTTACAAGCCTCATTTACTGTGTTAAAACAGTGGGTGGACTGAGACTATTAATTTATTTCCCTGTCATAACTTTCCTTTCGTCAGGCTCTTCATGATTAAAGTACAATCATCTAAAAATATTTTGAAGGAAAACAAGGCCATAAAGTACTAAAACATTAAGTGAAAGTCACTAATAATAATTGTGTATGCATGTGTGAGACAGAAAGCAAGCAGCATTTACATGTATCTTATCTTTACCTATTTATTTACCTATTTACTTACAGGGATGGACCATATAATCTGGAAATAAATTCGAGAAAAGAGACACAAACCATCTTTGGCAATCATCACCATACCCATGTGTTATTTGTTTATTTATTTCATTAATACAGAACTACATTCCATCTGAGGTGATTTTTGGTAATCTTGAAAATAATATGAAATCTTAAAATAAGATTTTTTTAAAGGCAAATAAGGCTATAAAGTATTAGAACTTTGAGTAATGTTACTCATAATTGTGTACATGTACAGTATGAGACTGAAAGCAAGCAGCATTTACTTGTACCTTTTCTTACAGGGATGGACAATCTCGAAGGAAGAGAAAGATACACAAATGAGCTTCTGCATTAATACAGAAGTGCAGTACATTTTAGGGGATCTTGAAAATATTTGAAAACTGATTTTCAAGAGGATACCCCAAGACCCTACAAACCCCTGATGTTTTGGCCTTCATCCCAAAGAGCTAATTAATTGTGGGCAACGGGTGAACAGGATGATCAATCAAGGGAACAAACAGGCACACACAGGCGAACAGTCTCAGAACCAAAACACAATGAAAAAGCCAAAACAGAATAACTGAATATAACCATTACTCTGTGAGGTTGGAGGGTAAATATCTCTAGGGCTAGAGTGAGCAAGACATTTTGTAAGAAGTCCATTCATTTTTGTTGGGTCCATAAGCCAGACATTTTACTGAAAATGCAATGGCACATTTTTAAGAGTCTTTAAAGTTTTTTTTATGACAATTTCTGACGATTTACTCTTGAAATACATATGAATATGATGTCAAGTCTCTTCGATATTGTCATTTTAAATATATTTAATAAAGCAACGAGATACATTTCAGATAAAGCCTAAACAAAGGAAGGAATGATGGATTGATTTGAGGTGCAAACATAAGAATTATTATTGGAAAAGCATCATGAGTGGGTCTTAGGAGGAAAGATTAAAAAAAAAAAAAAAAAAAAAAAACCTCCATGGCATTGGATTCAAAGAATATGAGTACAGTTTGCAACAAAGACATTGGCTGTCAGTAAACTAAATGCATATAATCTGGCAATTAATTTCCATTCCAGCTGCTCCCAGATTCACTCATACCATAAGTGCTGCATTTTCTATACACTGTACTGTAGGCAAAACTCCAAAAAAAAATCTAAAAAAAAAATACAGTGATGGCAAATGTTGCCATGAAATTTGCATGACATCTGGAAAAATTCCACTGAAGTTATTCCAGTCTGGCTGAACTGATTTATCTGGAGAGAACTACAACTGCCATTCTTTATTTTAAACAGAATTTAAAGTACATTCATATAAATAGGTTTGAATAAAAGCTCCAAGATTTTGAATATAATTTAGTAAATAGCCTATTATTTAAATTTGGAGGGTGCAAAAGAGTTTAAAAATTAATGTGCAATTTAAGTAATATGAGATCAAAATCATGCTTTGAATTTATAAGATTCCTCCAAACTGTGAAGGACATGTTGACCCCGTGAGAGTTGCAGAGCTCTGAAGCTCTCACCTGCAAACATTATCAGCCATCACCACACACTCCCAAATTCAAAAGGGAATTTAGTAGTGAGATGCATAGAAAGAACTCACGGACATGCAAGGAAGAACTGTGCGCATAACTGAGAAAGAATGAGCTTTCTCTGAGCTCACGATATTAAAACAAAAGTATCTGGACAATTTAGGGGTTTCATAGGTTAGTGGAACTTCTTTATAGTCAATGCGATGTATCACACGTGGTGAATGACTTCATACATCAATACATCAATGACTTCATACATTTGTTTGATGCCACTTGGTTTGATATTTTTAATACAGTAATATTCATACATATTAAGTGCTGCTAATTATAATATTAATACTCCAAAAGTGTCCAAATAATTTGAGACACTAAGGGCCAACAGCTTGCGCCAGCGCAAACACTCTTTGGGATTACAAACTGTCAGACATGCAGTGAAAAAATTGCGATGGACAGTTACTTTTGTGGCTGATCTTATTGCATATGAATTAGGAGTTTTCCTTTTAGACGCAAAATGTATGGGTTGAGAGATTTTAAATAAATCATGCAACATGGTTTACAAAGGTTTGTGGTAGTAAGTTTACTGGTATCTTTGTGCCATTATTTAATGCCCCAAAATCATGTCTTAACCCATTTTGTGCTTGACATGGCAGTGATGGTTGCGCTGATCTTGGTAGATCACATTGGTTATACTAGAAATGAGCTGCCTGGGTCTGTGTTCTTTAATTTGCGTATTGCCACAAGATCACCCATAGAACTTTTATGAGATTGTAGTATCATGCTAATTTGTCCTGTTTACTAAATCTGGCCCTAGATATGGCTCATATACACTCACCTAAAGGATTAGGAACACCTGTTCAATTTCTCATTAATGCAATTATCTAATCAACCAATCACATGGCAGTTGCTTCAATGCATTTAGGGGTGTGGTCCTGGTCAAGAAAATCTCCTGGGTAGGGTTGCACCAGCCGTTCGTAAGTTCTTTCTTAAATTGTAACGTAAAGTCCACACTAGAGGCTTGGTAACTACTAGCTAGTTTGTAACTAACTCTGTACTTTATTCCGTTGCACCATTTGTTCGTAAGGTAGAACGTAGCTAGTAGGTCGTAAACTCTCCGTAAAGTAATGCGTAGTCGCATAATATGACGTTTAGCCTCGATGAACCAATAGCAGCCTTCAAATACGTGAGCAGAAGTTGTGTTGAAATGCCGTGAATTTCAGTTTATCCTTCATTCTAACTTATTTTGCCTCACGTTACTAAGTGTTTTTATATATAAATAACATTCAGAAACTGTATTTGAAATGAAATTAATAAGGATCAATAAATAAATATTGATACAAAAAACAAGAAATTACGTTTATTGATTATGACTGATATTTGACATGCACAACATGGACCGATGCACACAGCGGCGCTGTTTAGGACCGATGCACACAGCGGCGCTGTTTAGGACAGGTTCGTGTTAAAGAGCTCCTAACAAAGGAATCTTTTCACATAATGTTCTCTCTCTTAAAATGTAAGCGAGTGTAAATGTCAGCATTATCATATATGTCTAAAGAATTGAAGTCTGTCAGGTAAAAGAAGAGCTTATTGATGCAGTTCAGTCTGTCTGATATTTTATTCCAACCGTTACTCCTGATCGGAGGCTGCCGTAAATATTTAGTTGGAACGTAGAGTTACGTTTAAACTAAGTTTAATGGTGCAACGTAAAAATATTTAGTAGTGCGTAAGTTGTAACTTAGTGCCCATTTGCGTCAAAACTAGGCTAAGTTGTAACTTACGCACAGCTGGTGCAACCGGCCCCTGAACTCCAAACTGAATGTCAGAATGCGAAAGAAAGGTGATAAGCAATTTTGAGCGTGGCATGGTTGTTGGTGCCAGACGGGCCGGTCTGAGTATTTCACAATCTGCTCAGTTACTGGGATTTTCACGCACAACCATTTCTAGGGTTTACAAAGAATGGTGTGAAAAGGGAAAAACATCCAGTATGCGGCAGTCCTGTGGGCGAAAATGCCTTGTTGATGCTAGAGGTCAGAGGAGAATGGGCCGACTGATTCAAGTTGATAGAAGAGCAACTTTGACTGAAATAACCACTCGTTACAACCGAGGTATGCAGCAAAGCATTTGTGAAGCCACAACACGCACAACCTTGAGGCGGATGGGCTACAACAGCAGAAGATCCCACCGGGTACCACTCATCTCCACTACAAATAGGAAAAAGAGGCTACAATTTGCAAGAGCTCACCAAAATTGAACAGTTGAAGACTGGAAAAATGTTGCCTGGTCTGATGCGTCTCGGTTTCTGTTGAGACATTCAGATGGTAGTAGAGTCAGAATTTGGCGTAAACAGAATGAGAACATGGATCCATCATGCCTTGTTACCACTGTGCAGGCTGGTGGTGGTGGTGTAATGGTGTGGGGGATGTTTTCTTGGCAGACTTTAGGCCCCTTAGTGCCAATTGGGCATCGTTTTAATCCCACGGCCTACCTGAGCATTGTTTCTGACCATGTCCATCCCTTTATGGCCACCATGTACCCATCCTCTGATGGCTACTTCCAGCAGGATAATGCACCATGTCACAAAGCTCGAATCATTTCAAATTGGTTTCTTGAACATGACAATGAGTTCACTGTACTAAAATGGCCCCCACAGTCACCAGATCTCAACCCAATAGAGCATATTTGGGATGTGGTGGAACGGGAGCTTCGTGCCCTGGATGTGCATCCCACAAATCTCCATCAACTGCAAGATGCTATCCTATCAATATGGGCCAACATTTCTAAAGAATGCTTTCAGCACTTTGTTAAATCAATGCCACGTAGAATTAAGGCAGTTCTGAAGGCGAAAGGGGGTCAAACACAGTATTAGTATGGTGTTCCTAATAATCCTTTAGGTGAGTGTAGATATTAAGACAAATAGGCCAAAACTGCTGTAAAATGCTAAACACAGAGGACCTCTGTCAATTAAAGTGCTTAACATTCCACAGACTGTCCCAACAGCCCTTTACTGTCCCTTTTTGTTTTATGCCCTTCTAAAAAATGCATTAGTCTGGCTTAAGGAGTATTTTATCCTCATCACCACATGTGAATGCCAGTTTTTTCCATCATCATCACTCAAAAACATGACGTGCAAGTTAAACTGTGCTTTATGACAGGGTTTCAAGTATGAGTCATCCCGGTGTAAAACCTCTGCTAAATAGTTTAAATAAGTTTATTCATTGGTTTATAATTTTACGCATAGTACTGTATCTTTGTTCTGTCATCTTTCAGATACTTATGAATCCTACTTTTCCAATATCAAGTGAAAAAAACAGGATTTTCCAAACAAAGTTATGAAGTTCTGCACACACATTTGTGCGTTTGGAATTATGCGTTTCAAGATATGCCAAAACATTTCAGTGACACAGTACTATCAAACAAAAGATTCTGAATTGATAGACTGTACCAAAAATTAACTGTGTTCATCTGCCTGGCAGAGATCAAAATTATTTATTTATTTTACTGTCTGGCTGAGACGGTACTATTCTCACTCAATTCGTTTTCACTTGCTTGACATCTTAGATCTCACTACGGGACTCGCCTCTGCGGGGCAAAAAATGAAGCCCTATATTCTGTAGATGCCCTCTGCAGGCCCATTCCAACTGTTATAGAGTAGATATAAAGACTGTTCTCAGTTCTAGGCATAGTCTATAGCCAGTGGTGTCTTTTCTCTTTATTTCTGATAGGGCACAATTAATCAGAACCCTAACTGCCCACAAAAACATCTAGTCATAAACTAATCATTCATACTGTATCAAGAAAAAATAAAGTGAAAACAACCACATTGATGGGTGCATATCTCACAGTGCATATTTTCTCAAAAAGAATAACAAATGCATAATTCTCATGGTGAAGTGAACTACAAGACAAGATAAAGCATAAACATCTAAAAAACAAGACTAAATAAACAGTGCATGTTCACTTCAGCCAATAAAAAGCAATAGGATTAAATTAGCTTAACACACCATTAACATCCATTTAAAAAAGGAAGTATGCACGGAAATCCATTATAAGTAAACTTGTTTGTGACTTTCCAGTCGAGATATAGCAGCCCATTAAACCAATTAAATTTTAAACTGAAACTCTGTCTCGGGAATTTAAATTTTCAAAGTTTCTCTACTATAAAAGTTAGAAGTTATTAATCAAGCATTGTAATAAATAAAATGTGTAACACTGATTTTCTTCTGTGCCAGCAGTTTGTCTTGCTTTCCAGTAAAATACCTAAACATCCTTTAAATTTATCTAAAAGCAAAACTGCAAGAAAATAAATTCAGAAAACATAAACTCCACCAGTATAATAGTATTGCTCATCAGCTCATAACAATCTGAATTATGAATGAAGATTTAGGCCTGAGCAGTAGATTATGCAGACAGGAGAAAGGCTTTCTTGCTGGCCAATGGCCTAAAATACCTTTAAAGTGTTTTATCGATGGCCAGCAGATCTGTGAGATATTGCACTCATCTCCCTCAGAGAACCAGGGTTTGAGGCGTGATCTAAAGTTTTCAGGGCTGAGATATTTTGGTTATCGGATATTGGAAATTTAACAGTATCCATAAATTTAGGCGTCAACAGGAACTGGCGATACACAGCAAAAGTAAAACTGTAGAATGACTCAGAAGACATTGGCTGAAGACTTTAAGCAAATGCAATGGCAATGTGCATTTTTACAATTGATTAACTGATACTCACAGTCTCTGCAGTTGTGTATATTTGGAGAAGATGTGATCATCCAAAATCCTAATCCTATTGTTCTTCAGAGACCTGTACAATTATAAAGCATTGAATTACAAACAACACCACATTACTATCAGAAAATTCACAGGCATAGTTAGTCTAAAAAATATAAAATTATGTCATCATTTACTTGACTAATAATGTTGTTCAAAACTGTTTTTATATTCCATGCCATTTCCTAGTCATATGAGATTTTGTGTGTAGACCAATTTGTAAATCATTAGTTATTGAAAATCCTATCTCCACTCCATCCTCTCATAACTCATTCACGGACTCCGGTTCATGGAGTACTTTTCATTTTGAGCTTATTTGAACCTGCAGCACTTTGTTTGTATAGCAAAGAAAGAAAGAAACTGGACTGTTACAGTTGGGTTGCAGAAACGAGGATGAAATAAAAGCTGGATTCAAGCGCAATGGTCCAATTTATTTAAACACTAGCACACTGGCAAAACCCACACACTGACGAGAACAGACAAAAAACTGCACAAAACACAGAGTTTAAATAGACCAAACTAATAAAAGAAATCAACATCAGGTGTAAGCTAATCAATCAGAAACCTAGGAGACAAATCAAGAGCGGGAACAGAAAACAGAGCAAAACCAACTCATAGTAACACAAATAGAGATAACACATATCAGATTGCTGACATGGACATTTTAAGTATCTCCTTTGGTGTGCACAGAAAAAAAATGCACAGGTTTCGAAAGATATGAGGGTAATTTGAAAGTAAATGATGAACAGAATTGTAATTTTTCAAATAAAATCTCCCTTTAAGGAGTATTTTCATTCCACAAAGATGAAACAATGTAGATAAATTATTGGATACAACTTTAGTGACCACTGATATTCATTATCTAACATTCCTTCATTTTCCAAAAACATCCACAGAATCCAAAAGATCATCTCCAGAATCCTTATTCCAAAAATCATAAATTATAAATTATCTTTAAATACCTCTTCCATCCTGTATATCTCAATATCTTCAAAGTCCAGATCACAATACAAGTATCAAAAGCACAACTAGAACTCATGTAGAGAAAACAACTGAAACAACCAAACAAAACAAAACCCTACCTCTCAGGCAGTGCACATCATTTTTCTTTCTTTTGGTAATTGTTCAGTACAAAGAAGCTCTTTATCTCATTAAGCTTTATAATTCAGTGCTTTAAAGCTCTATGTCTCACTGATGTGAAATCTGTAGTCCTCATCTCCAGCTACAGATTCATAACCTCTAGTGGGAGCAAAGGAGTAAAGCTCTGCAGTTGGCTCCCAGTTTGATGTACTTACAACCAAGTCACATTGGAGGAGAAGACGGGTACGACATGCAGGTTCTTGTCCACACATTCCACCTCTGTCTTAATGCAATCACATCTCTCTGGGTACTGCTTCAGAACTGTAAAAGATCAGCATAAACACACATAATAAACTCAGTTATTAAAGTAAATCGAGTACATAAAGCTGTAAAAAAAAATAAAGCTTTGCTTACTATTGTTAAGTTCTATGTTCTACTATCAGGAACACATAAACAATCATACAGTATTTGATGATTTGCATTAATGCATTTTTTGTTCAAATTAGGCCTACACTGAGAAAAATATAGTTCTTATCCCTTTTGTCCTATCTCTAGTCATTGATCTCTCTTTCTGTCCCCTCGCCCTCTTTTAAATATTTCCATTTTTTTCAACCAAAAATGTTCCGATATTTAAAGGGGCACTATTGCTCATTTATGCTTATTTACACATTCATCATTTTGTTAATGGGGTCTACTAGAATATGGTTACATCCTTTAATGTTTAAATAATTATTTTATAATAATTTACATTGTTGCAGCACCTGTTTTCACCATCTGCCTAAACACTGTTTTAGTTTTGGATTCTTTAAAGCCCACCCTCTGAAAAACACAATCTACCCTGATTGGTCAGCCGGCCCCAGTCTGTTTTGAATGGTCTACCGCTTAGAGCGTGTGCTGGAAATGTAATGTCCCTAAACATAATCAGCGAGAATCAGCTCCAAAGGCTTTCTGAGGCACTATAAACACTACTGTAACCATGCAAACTGTGGCATCAGTTTTGCCAAATCAGTTCAAGCCTGAGTTCTCCCCAGTCAAGAAGAACAAGCTGATCAACCCGAACCACCATCGCAAACATGTGCCAGGGTGGGAAAAAAAAAATTCTCTTGGTGCCAGTTGCATAAACATAGCCACTAACTTATGAAATAGTCTGAGCAATAGGCAGTTAGTAGTGTTAATCAGTTTTACTTTTAGGATTCAAATAAGACCAATCTACCTTTTTATGTAACCGACTTTAAAAAAAAATATGATCCGTCTTGAAGAAAAAATTACTGCTAATTTCTGTGGTTATGTTTAGGTATGGGGTAGGATTAAGGGATGTAGAAAATGGTCATGTAGAATGTAGTGCTTTATAAGTACTAATAATATGCTAGTTAATAGTGAATATGTGTTCACTAATTTTAAGTGTTTTCAAAAGCATAATAGCAGTAAGTAATAGTTTTACTATGGTCCATGCCCACTTACCTGCCTTTCAACAAATCAGTTTTGGGACGATTACGAGGCAAGTGTCACCAAATTAATATTTATGATCCATATTCATAAAAGTTTATAATGTTCCCCCGTCCCCATTTTTCAGGTCTTTACGAAGCTCCTGGTAAATACATAAATTTCAAGGCCAACAGACTTTGAAAGCAAATAGATTTCCAACCAGATGCTTCTACAAGATCGTAAAACTCATGCAGATTTATGACGCATTACAGTAAAATGAAGCCTATAGCATTTCTGACTTTAAAAGCAACCAGTAGGCTATTCTTCAAATAAACTCTGAAAAAAAAAGACTCGGAAAATCTGAGTCTGGCCCTCATATGAAAATTGCAGCAGAGTTTTGGACTAGATTTTTTGGATGAGCCTCTAGATAACATCATTTATGCTAATCTATGTATTCATATCTCTTCCAGAGGAAATCAGCTCAAGACCGGGGCACATACAGCAGTCATTAGGAAGGTCCTGTGGCTCTGCCTTTTTTATGGTGCGATCAAAAATATCCGCCCATCCGCTGTTGTCCCCTGCAAAAAGTAAAAACAAGTCTTTGTATGAGAAAGTCACTTTAAAAAATATAAAAATGACACTTTAAAGATATAAAATGACCTAAGAAAGATGTCAGGATTTCTCCCTGCAGAAAAACTGATAACATCAATACTGAATAAACATCAGCTCCTAATGTATTTTAAAGTGTTAACATAAAATTTAGTTCCAGTTGTAAGTCTGAACCTTATATTTCCAGCCTATTTTAAATGGATGAAATGCTTTGGAACTGAGAACAGCATTAAAGTGAAAAGACAAATATATGCCTCACCGCAGTGTTCCTCATCTGCTCCGTTTTTGCAGTCTCTGTGGCCATTACACTGAAGGACCTGCGGCAAACACACGCTCATGTTCCCACAAGGGAACTGGCCAAGAGGGCAACCATCTGCCACCGCCCTGCTAGCCATCATGGGTGCTGCTGGCAGCAATGAGAAGAGGGCGGAAGGAGGAAGAGAAGGAGAAGTTATAAAAGTACAAAAAGGAAAAGCTCTTTAAATCACCGCAGTACTTTGTGCTTCCATCAGGGCAAAGTAGATGACTGGAAGCCCTCCAGCAGTGTTAGATGGAAAGCACAAGCCAATGCGGATGAATGTGCACCAAAACACAGCAGAGTTCGATTGAGTTTGACAAAAGATATAAGGAGAGCATCTTTTGCATATTTATTTGACCATCCTAAAAATGCACGATTACGGCTACAGATGCTGCAGTAAATATTTACAATGACGTGAAAAGCACTCTCACACAGTGCATGACGACAATGCTGTATTTTGTAATCGGAAAATATGACGTTTACGAAGACGGGGTCCCCTATGGCACGCAGTTATTCTTCTTTCCATGTGACATGACAAAGAGAGGTGACCGGCCAGAATATACAAACAAAAAGTTCTGCACGAAGGCTTTATCGCAATAAAAAAAAAACTCTCTGACAGCTTCATTTTGCATAATAAATGTCTGTTTGTGTTTTTTTTCTTATCGGCTCTCTCCAACACTCATCACAAAGTGGATTTGTAATAAATTGTGAGGGTGGGTGGCTCTCCCAACACAGTGCTTTACCATAATGAAACATGGCCTTGTTTTTAACAACCTCGTATACAAGAAATACGCTGTTCTGTTTGAGGCTATTTGTCACTATTTGTCTGTATGTCACATTGGGCATTGGTGAATAATACGATTTAACTAGCCACTGAAATGACAAATGATAGGTATATGCAGCTAAGAAAAAATATATATTTATATTATTGGTTTATACAACAACCAGTGATAGGTATAGCTGATTCTTATACAGCTTCTGCATAAAACTGACCAGCACTATACTGAAACATGTGGTATTCCATACCATACCGTTTTCACATGCAGCCACTCTTATAGTGTATTGATATTCACTTTGATAATAAAAAAGTGAACTAAATAACTGGGTTCTTTTCTTGAACCAGAAGCTTACTGCGCCAGTCTGCCCACTTTTTTTTTATTTTTTTTATCATTTAGAAAACTGTATAAAAATGCTTAGAGCACAGGCTTCCACACATAAATTAATAAAAGAAATAAGCTTCAAGCATATACTTGTAAATAAAAAGTCTTCATCAAGCAACCTCAAGTCAGGAAGAGTAGCCTATGATGCCACAGATACCATAGTGCTGGTAATGAAAAACAACTCCTCGTGGAACAATATTTTTATAGTGTTGTTTTAGAGGTGTTTTAAAGTAATAACGCCAGCCGCCAGGGCTCAAAAACCTTTCTGTCCAACTGTGTCCTGTCTGAGTACTGATTGAGTACTCAGACTTCATTTGAATTTCATGATTCTAATTTTAAATGTATATTTGTACATGTAATATTTTAAAATGATTATTTATAACATCTTTTCCACACATATATTTTCAAATCATATGTTACACTTTCTTTAATAAGACAATTAGCAATAATAGCTGAAATCCTCATTTATGTTAGCCATGGCATGTAGATAATTAAATAATGGTAGCTGACAAGTTAAAAAAGTTAATAAGCACATTTTGCAAACCAAATGTCACAGAAAGTTTGCAGAGGATAAAAAAATAAATGTACAAGATCAAAGATCAAGTATACTGTCCTTATTGTTGAGCTCTGAATGCAAAACACAGAGGAAGAGAGACATCACATCCAGGCAAAATATAAGTATTATCTTATCTTTTGTTAGTTTTCCTAATTTAAGTAGAATCATTGTTTTTTACTGCCTATCTGTGAAGGAAATCTGTGACCAAGGACTAAAAAGACTTGCAATTTTCTATCAAATATGAATGTGCCAGTTGGAAAAGATTGAATGTTGTATCTGCATCCACAGAGAAACAAATATGAATACTGGCACAGCTTGTAATTTTTTCATTTGCCGTTCCTGGTTTTCCCTAAGTCATTGGGACCCAGGAAACAAGCTTATAAAACATACAGAATGATCTTTTTTGAAAATCTAAAATAGCAGAACATTTTCTGTGATGGATGAGATTAGGAATAGAGTTAGTGTAGGGAGATATACAGTTTACAGTATAAAAACCATTACGCCTAATGAACTTTTACTGTTGTTAGTTTCACTCAAACATCCTTGCTCACTTTACTTAAACTCAAATAACCATGAACTTAAGTTAACTGAGTTGTTTCAACAAAAAATGAGTATTGTCAGCTTTACTTAAAAAGTGTTTGTTCAGTCAACTTTACATTGCTGAGGGAAACGCACAAATTAATAAAACAATATAGCCTGCACCTTTGCACGCACCGTAGCTGCTTACACTAAGACAGAAGAGAATATGAATATTTTATTAACATTCCTTACCATGATTCCTGATAAAAACTGCCTAAAAATAATGTATGTGTCCACAGAGTTTTATTATTTTAGCAATTTATTTTGTCTATACTAATCTGTTGCATATAGGCTAAGTTTTCCTTCTTTGGTATTTTTGCATTTTAGTCAGTTATGCTAACTTGCGTTTCTATCTCAAGACAAGCATGTAAAGACTGCAAAATAACCGTGTCAACTAGATTGCAATTGTTGAAGTACTATAGATAAGCGAATTGCCTCTTTGGTCGCAGTAATAATTTCCCATCCAATTATTCCGATTGTCCCTGCAGTTTTTAAACATGGAGTCCACAAAAACAATGCTGTTTTATCTTCAGATGTCATTGATTAACCCTTAATGTAATTTAAATAAAAAGTGTCTTTTTAAATCTCTACATTGCTGCTGAGTTCACTCCAATCATCACCATCCCACTGATTCAGACATTTATGTCAAAACTGGACAGTTACACAAGCAAACTGGCCAGCATCTACCAGAGAAAATGAGTTGCAGGACGAAACAATTGTAAACCAATGGCTGTCATTGTCCAGATTTGTGATCTGTTTGATGCTTGTGAATAATATCCACTTTAGCATGGTGATTTGTAACTTTGTCTTTTCTTAATTTCTTCTACAGAACGATACCATCTCAACTCGGAGAGCTTGCATTCTCAAAGCACTTTATGTGCATCTTAATGAAGACTATGAATGAAGGAGTATACAGTAAGTGTTCTCAGGCATTCTTTTGAATGATTACAATAAATAATACCCCCAATAAAATCACTAGACAGTACAATAAAGTAATCACATATGGATACAGAATTCTCAGAATCTTTGCTTTTACTAGATGTATTCCTAAGTGATGTTACATTTGCATTTGTTGGTGCAATTAAAATGACTGAACTGTTTTACTGGTGTTGTTTTGTGCAATTTAGGACACAGACTTTGAGAATGCTAAGAGAGATATGGCTAATAAAATCATTTTGCATCAAACATGAAAATGAAGAAGTTTGTGACCACATATGTGAACAATTGCACATTGCAAGATTTTGGGTGGAACTTTTGTTGTTTTATCGTTTTTTAAAGGTGAAGTATGTTATTTCTCAAAGTCGTTGCTGAACATTGTTGGTATTTGAAATCAACCCAAACAAACACACCCCTCTCTTCATTGCTCCGCCTCCAAAGCTCATCCTTCAATCCTAACCGCCCAGCTCCGTTCTCGAACCCAAACGCTGTCATGCGAGGCGGGTGCACTAACAAGGACGCTAAACAGTAAACACCGCATTCTCTAGCAGTCATCAGCCTGCACAACTCTCATAGCTGGCCTCCATTACACATGCAATGCAAGAGTAGATGTCTATTTATCAAATAATGCGTCACGAAAAAAAAAAGCGCAGATGATAAACAAACGATAAGGAAGCACAAAAAAAGTAACATACACAAGAGTAAATACAAACAAGAGTTCGTTGTTAGTTGTCAACAGCACAGCAGCTCCAGACAAACAATGACACTCAAAACCAGTGTTACTCACATATTCCGCTAATCAAAGCAAACTCCGCATCTATTTCAGGCCTTCCCGCTTAGCTCTCCAGTGCTGAAAAACTTTTCTAATATTACGGGGGTCCTAAAGCTCTTTCCAGATCATTACCCTCCTTTTTCCAGTGATATTATTATGAGCTTTTCTCTTTTGTAATTTCTCTCAGCTATCTCTCTATCTACAGTTTTTCTTCAAATCTCCCTCTTACTCGTTCTCTCTCCTCCACCATCATACGCCCCCTAATGCTGATTGGCTACACATTTGTTGTTGTGTCTGGTTGTGTCCGTCCGACCAACTTTTAAACGTTTTACAAATATCGCTTACCCTACCTTTAAGATCTGTGAAATTTAAATTGTGCTAGTGGTTGATTAAAAAATAAATAGGGGCAAGATTTATTGTTACCTTTATTAATGGCTCAAAAATCTTTTATTGTTTTTGTATTATTTTTGTAAGGAAAGGTTATTACAATTTCTTGAAAGTTGCACATTGCAAGACCTTGGCAAGAAAATAAATGCATTTTGTTTCTAAAAAAATAAGCTTGTCGTCATTCAATAGTTTTCCACTTACACTTGTAGAGCAAATAGTTAATTTAATAAAGTAATAAACTTTTATAATATTAACATTATTAAGTAAACTGAACATAAATATTATGTAACAGTAACATTTACTTAAAGACATTTTGTCAGCTTTACTTGAATTTATTTTGTTCATTCAACTAAACTGTTATTACAAATTACTCAATATAGTTGTGTGGAACCACTTGAAACTGCTTTTTTTAAGAAAATTCAACTATTCATATTTATTCATATACTATTCAAATAATGAGCAAATTTCTAAATTCACTTTCAAACCACTCCAAATCTGTTAAAATGTTTTTTTTTATATATATAAACCTGTACCTGACAAAACAAAGAATTCCTAAAATAAGCTGATTTTATGTGGTACTCTATATATTTTAAATTTCATGATAAAATATTTCAGTTGTAAAGAAAATGACTTCAACTCAGAATGTGTAAATTATGTTTTTTTTATTTATTATTGAACTTCAAAATAAAACCTCTTGAATGCATCAACACTCCTAAAG